GTATCACTTATACTGGTAAAAAAACCTAGGTCTGAATTATAGTTATTTATAACAACAAATAAAAAGTAAATAATAGTTTCTTACAATTTGAAGGATAATCATTCAACTAAGAAACACATGTATGTAGAAATACATTTTTTGAAAAAAAATGTATTTATATCTTTATATAGAAATATTCAAAATATTACCTCCTCTTTAAAATATCTCCTTAAATATAGTTATATATACTGTTTACCTGCTGTTAAGTATTATGGTTATATATTACATTATATATTATAGAATTTTTTATATTAATGAACTGTATATAGCTGTTAAATAATTTTATAAATATGCCGTTGAGTTTATTTGGATAATAAATTTATTATATGACATTAAATTCATGAAAACAAATTGCCAAAGGATACATATTATCATATCATTAACCTCAAAGAGATTACTGGTACACAAATAATCTTGTATAACCGAAAAACTGGTTTTATTGGATATTTGGCAGCAATTAAATCTGCTTAAGTTATATTTCTCGACTGGGTTGAAAAAGAAGGTTCACCATTAAATTATTTAATAACATATAAGCTCAGTCAAAACCACCTAGAGCTCGTTTTTGGTGCTGTGAGATCTGCAGAAATGTTTAACAGCAATATCAATTGCCAACAATTCACAGCCAAAGAATCTTAATACGAAGTAGCGTTCAATGTTAATTAAACATGTTTGACTCAGCTGTAAGTGTTAACAATTTATTTTCCTTGGTTCATTTGGCAGTTCAACAGCCAAAATAACTTTTATGTAGTATTATCCAATACTACATAAAAGTTGCTTTCAGAATAGGGATTCCATAGGAGATTCGCCTGCCTTACTCATTTTAATTGTTTTTGCTATCGTTTCTAAACAATTTTATTTTTATATCAAGGCTAGTTACAACAAGATTAGTTTCATTCCACATTGCTTTCTAGCTGTCGCTAATAGCTACTAATTGTGAAATGTATATATATATATATATATATATATATATATATATATATATATATATATATATATATATATATATATATATATATATATATATACATATATATATATATATATATATATATATATATATATATATATATATATATATATATATATATAATTATATATATATATATATATATATATATATATATATTATGATTTTAGTAAAGTACAACCAAATAAAATAAGGTATTAATAACTATATATAAAAAAAATTCTAGAAGGAATCTCTGAGTTGTGTGTACTCACAGAGCTCAGCTATTTAATTTAAACAAATCCTATTCTAATACCTGGTTTTTGATGTGTAAAACGCATTTATGAAGAAAAGAGTCAGTAGTTACAGTTTTAGCCAACCCATTTGGGCTTAGATCTCAAAATTTAAAATGACATTTTCATCGGCTAAAAGTGCAAAAATAATTATAAACAAATTATAAAACAAGCTACAAGCATCAGTTAGGTACCAAATGATCCAAAATATAACTTAAAACAGATAGTTAAAATAACGCTTTTTACTAAAAATTATATTTATAAAGTTATTGCGTAAAATCTGCTGCTTCTGTAACAAGTTTTACATATTTTTCAACATTTTAGCTGTGACACTCATATCTTGAGTTAAATGGTTTTGCGATAAATTTAAGTATTTTATTTTTCCAATCAGTCTCAAAACGGGTAGAATTGTGTGCATTTGGGAAATTAGGGTCATTTCATAATAACATGCAGCTTCAAAAATAATTTTGGGCTTTAGAAAAAATCTTACATCTTCATTCACTGAGAAATAATTATTTCACTAATATTGGCTTCATTTTAATTGTCACTCTCAACCGTTTCCCATTCGAAATTATCTTCATAATGAAAATCTTTAATGAGGTCTTTTAAATGTAAAATTTTATTAACCGCTTTCTTTTTGACCACTTCATGCTTGTCCGCTAACATTCCATTGAGAATATTTTTACCATGAGCAAAATAACTATTATTATCTATAACTTTGTAACTAATGTTCTTAGATTTTAATAAGAAAATTCATTTATTTTTTGAATCAAATTAAATAGATTTTTGGGACTGTCAGTTAAATATTATTTAATCTTTAAATCAAACCAACTAAATATCAAAAGTCTTTAGATTTTTAGTAGGTTTGGAAATAGGTTTATAATACCGCAAGATTTTGTACGCTGTTAGCCAAAGAAAATAGTGTTGAAGCCTAACTTCTACAAAAACCAAATCATCTATGCGATTACATCCTAACAGATGAGATAATCATAGTATTGGTCAGTCTATAAGACATTAATGACTTTAAAATGTGACAAACTTTGGATTTGGAACTGGCCTAAACATAGCACCCAATTTGAAAATATTGCTTTTCAGCTGCGAGCCAATAGCTACAAAAAATTTATTTTGCTCTTTGGTAGTTCCATTTGTATGTATCACTGATCTCAAAATATAATTATTTTGAGAATATATTTTAAGTTATATTTTGAGATCAGTGCATATAATGGGTAGGATATAAATGAATGCGGATAATATGTAGATTTAAATACGGGTGAAGAATTATCACATAATAGTAGACGCGCTAAATAACTAAAAAAATCTCCAACTAATTAACCAAAAACTTAAAAACTAATAATAAGACGAACAATGCAGAAAACAACGAAGTTCAATAGTCTAACGTAGTATTTTTTTTTAAAAGACTTTTAGCTTAGGTTGACTTTTAGCTTAGCTATGATTATTTAAAAGATTGTTTAAAAAAATATATTTTGCTAAGTTAGTGAACTAACTAAATTAGACTGTAAGTTCACTATTTTAGTGAACTAACAGTCTAACTAAAAATACTTGGTAACAACTAAACTAGTTAATAGTTTAGTTTGACTAGCTAAAAATAATTAATGATACCTAACCATTTGAGGATTATCTGCTGATGGAGGTTCCATATTCCTATCTTCCAACCTAGTTATTTATAATGTAAATTTTTAAAAGCATTGTTTTTTTTTAAAGAGTAGTTTAGTTCCGTTTAACAAGTGCTCCAACACTAAAACACATTTTTTTACTTTTTTTTTAAAGATTTAATTCAACTTTTTACAATTTAAATTCACAACATGACCACATGAATACTTTGATACATGAATACTTTAATACAATACTGACCACATGACTTCTTTAATGCCCATTTGACTAGTTAACTTTATTGTGAGTTGTTTAAAGCTAAATAGTGAATTATGATTTTTTCTTTGTGAGTTTTTTAACTCTAAATTGTGAGTTGTCACATGTCTATTGTGACTTATTTATACCATTATATATATATATATATATATATATATATATATATATATATATATATATATATATATATATATATATATATATATATATATATATATATATATGAATATAATATATATATATATATATATATATATATATATATATATATATATATATATATATATATATATATATATATATATATATATATATATATGAATATATATATATATATATATATATATATATATATATATATATATATATATATATATATATATATATATATATATGATATATATATATATATATATATATATATATATATATATATATATATATATATATATATATATATATATATATATATATATATATATATATAAACACGCGTGTGTGTTTATATGTGTTTGTGTAGTTCGAAGCCTACTCTTGTTTATACGAAATAAGTAATGAAGGAGGCATGAATTTTCTGGCCAAATGCAACTCCGTGGTACTCTGTGATAAGACCGTAAGGAAGTGAGGATTATACAGTTATACATTTTTGGTAATTTATATTTACTTTTTCTTTCTTGCCTAAATACAATGAAACTTAGATTTAAAATTTTAGGATATATAATATTAGAAGTGTTTGTGAACAATCAATAAATTGATGCATGTTTTAAAAATAAAAAACAGTTTTAGAGTTATAACAAAATAACTTTAACTTTATGATTTTTAAAAAGAGTTTACTATTATCTGGTAGAAATAATCGACCCTCAGTAAGTATAATCAAGTAGTGGCCCCCGTTAAGGTATCGAGAATACATATTAACATGATTTTCAGTACCGAAAATTATACAATAAATGCTTGTTTGGAGCTTAATATAAAAACGATTTATAATATGGAAAGTCTCGAAATATATGTTTTGATCAAAATACGAATTAAAAGGTTCTATAAATATTTAGTTTATAAACGTTTAATGCTCCAAGGTCAATAGAGATTTATGAGATTTTTTCAATGATATATTATATAACTAGATGTCTAACTTCATTCTGAAAAGTGAAGCCACTTTTTGCCCTTTTTAAAAATGACTAATTAAATTTGTAAACAAATATTTTTAACTTTTCTTTTCTTAAGTAAAGTAAATATATTTTAAATACTTTTTACGTTAAAGTGTTAAGCAGAGATTGTAATACTTGTAAAACAATAATTTACGTTTCCTTAATTTATTATCGATTAAAAAGGGATTAAAGTGTTGAATATAAAAGTTAAACGACAGAAAAAGTTTTAAAGTTCGACAGAAAAAGTTTTAAAGTTCGACTATTTTCAAGACCTCATTACACTGAGTTTTTATTTTTATTCAGTTACTAATATATACACTTATTGATTTTTTTTAGTTTCGAGATATTGTTTATTTGTTGATACCAAGTAAAAATTAATAAACGGATAGGATAGAGGGGGAGAGGGCGAGTATATTAAAAAGCTTGAGGTGAGCAGGAAATATTTCTGAAAATTAATAAACGTCTCCTCCCGTGTATTAAGCACCTAAGAGTACAAAAAACCAATTCAAAGTCACAATTCTAAGTTTATAAAAGCTGTAAAAAATTTTCATATTTATTTCATAACTATATTTTATTTTATTATACTTTACATTACAAATTTTTTTTGAAAAAAGTATTATTGGTAATTTTTTTTACGCATATTTAAAAAATTATACTCCTAAGTTTATTATTAAATATACACCCAACGTTAAATTTTTGTTTTAATCATGTAAACAAAGTAAAAAAATACAAAGACTAACTTATATAAAACCCCCTCTTTCTGGGCTCAACTCGCTTTTTACGAAATTCATTAAAAATCATTTTAATAACAATCACGTGAAACGCAACAATAAGTACAACAATAGACAGCCAAAACTTCGGCGAAAGTTTAAAATGGTGAGCCTCTAAATGACTCTGATGAGATGCTTTTGCATTTTCTAATGCCATTAGCATAAAAGGCGTATTTCCCAATTTCTGCAAGTGAGTTTTATTTGTAGATATATATAGAAGAGGTGTAACAGGATCAGTAGTAAACACCGGAAGACTTAAACTTGTGCTTCCTACCAAAACAACGTTTCTACAAGCAGTTGAGCAAATATAAATAGGAGGGTTATGTTGTCCATCACAACTTACTAACAGAAACTGGTCAGGTGTGACTTTATTTACAATCAGTTTTAAACCTAACAAATCTCGCGATTTAAATAATGTTAAAGGTAAATTTCTCACTGAGATATTTGAGCGCAAATTAAGAGGGTTAAAACTAAGTTGCAGATGATAAGGTTGATATTGTAAGCCAATAAAACTAAGTGCCATCGCTTCTCTGTAAGAAACAAAACTTGCAACATCATTCAAAATACAACCAGAACGTCTAAACAAATTCTCCCAAGACTGTCTAATTTGATAAAGACTTTTTAGGTCAGTAGGCATAACCCATAAAGCAGCATTTCTAATAGTAGGAGGACCACTGAAACAATCATTCTGCAATATATTAGATGAAAGATTATATACAGAAATGCTGTAAATGTAATACTCTGTGAGATTAACATGGAGAGATGTAGGTGAGTCTGGGTCACTATCCGAAGCAATACTAACGCCGACCTAAAACAAAGCGTATAAAAAAAAATTAGTTTCTTCTACAGTCAATTAAAGTAAACATAAGTAAACGCTTAATATGTTGAAAAACAAATGCAGAATGAGCAACCAATACCTTAAATTAATTGGTTCTTAAATTTATAAAACCTATAGCAGTGTTTTCCAATCATATTTGTAACACATCCCATTTTAACAATTCAGAAAATCTTACACTCCCCCTACCCCACCGCCAATATTTTATATCTGCTAATTGATCAAAAAAAAAAGAATTCCTTTATATAACAAATAAACTTATGCAGTATATATTAATTTAATTTTCATAAATAAATAAAAAAATGTAATATTCCAATAAAAATGTAATTCCAAATGAAAATGTAATATAAATAAATAAAAAAAATGTAATATTGCAATATTTAAAAAAATGTAATATAATAACAAACAAAATTCAGCCCTTCATTAATGTGAGCTACTTGGTGTGATCTTTGTGCTTGATGTGAGTCAGAGTTTGTATGAATACAAATTTAATCAGTTTTAACTTTAAATTAACATGGTTTGTGATATCGATACGATTTTTCAATAACTAACAACTTAGAGCGATAAAACCGCATTAAACTAAATATCATGATGGAAATAATAACGGTAATTTTCTAGTTAAATTTGTCATAATCAAATATTTAATTTGTCTCGTCAAGCTACACAATTGCATTTTATTTAAGTTGAATGTTGTTGAATCATCATTTACTGATACTGCCTAGACATTAGCTATATCTGTCAATATTGTTTATCCAAGTTATTTTCGATAGGAAAGAAATTTTCTTTTAAGTCTGCCTTTCAAGTCAAGCCATTTTATTCAGATAATTCACTATAACAAAACAGCTGAATCATGTATTTTGACAATAAAATTGCTTAAATTTGTGTGCGCATTGCTCTTCTAAAGTGTTTATGTAATAGAATAAAACACACTGTGTGGTTCTGATGGTATAACTAACATACTTTAGAAAAAACTATTAGTTGTGTATTCCACTATATATGTTCGCTTTGAGTTAAGTTCATGGCCAAACCAGTAACATCAAGCGTTTGTCACAATATTTTGTATTTGAGCAAGTACTGCAGATCCAAATATTTATGGACCTATCTCACTATTATATACTTGCTGTAGTGTCATGGAAAGAATGATCAACTCAAATGTTATAGAATATCTTATCATAACCTAATAACTCCTAATCGCCGCAGTTTCCTCAGTAACCAACAGTTTCCTCAACAAACATTCCACATGTAAAATTATTTTTGGATTCTACAAACAATTTGTGTATCACACTTGATAATCATCTAATAACAGATGTTTTATACTGAACTTCATATACATATATATATATATATATATATATATATATATATATATATATATATATATATATATATATATATATATATATATATATATATATATATATATATATATATATATATATATATATTCATTGTTTTATGACCCAGGAACGTGGGTTCACAAAATAGTCATAACTCTAATATATATTTATATATATGTATGTATATATATATATATATATATATATATATATTTTTATAAATAAAAGTACAAATTTTTCACAACTATAAGTTTCATGCTAAATGCATTCATCAGGTGCAAGCACTAATATGTATATATATATATATATATATATATATATATATATATATATATATATATATATATATATATATATATATATATATATATATATATATATATATATATATATACATTTATATATATATATATATATATACATATATATATATATATATATATATATATATATATATATATATATATATATATATACATATATATATATATATATATATATATATATATATATATATATATATATATATATATATACATATATATATATATATATATATATATATATATATATATATATATATATATATATATATATATATATATATACATATATATAAATATATATATATATATATAATATATATATATATATATATATATATATATATATATATATATATATATATATATATATATATACATATATGTATAAAAGAATTATCACTTTTTTGTGACCCCATGATCCTGGGTAAAACAATAAAACATAAAACAATGAATATTTTTAGTAATGTAATGAAAAAAACTTATAGTAAAGTAATGAAAAAAACAATAATTTGATTTTCGTGTTAAAAAAAGGTCACCCACAAACCTAAAATTCGAATTTACCATACATGCATATGAATAAAATTTCAAACAATTTTATGATCTTTATTTTTTAATTTTAGAGTAATTACGTAATTTTTAGGCATTTAACGGTATTGTTACATCATAACATTTTAAAAAACAAAACAAAAAAATGAACTTAACTAAAATAAAAATTCTACAAGTACGAAAAGCCACTGAATATATCGAAAAAAATTTGTGTAGTATTCATCTTAATTAAAGCGTAAAATACAATTTTTAAGCTTTTTTAGACAGAGTAAATCTTAGGTGAATGTTCTCTTTGCATTTACAGGTGTCAAAAAATCTTGAATACACTTGATTGCTCTGAACACTGATTTGTTAAGGGAATTTACAGTCTCGATGGATCCTGATTCCAAAACTTTTTAACTGAGTTTAATGCTTCTCCATGACCGTGCAAGTTGTTACATAACTTACAATAAACATCTGTATTGAACATTTAGTCAGAAAACCGATGGTTCGCCAATCTGTAAGAGATGAATCTACAATGTTGAGTATTGTCACTTCTCTCTGGTAGAAAATAAATTTTAAAAGACCTAGTATTGCTGGTAATTCGATCATGCATTATTTAACTTAAGTATCCTCTAAAACTTCACTATAGGAAATACTCAGGATTCTTCAAAAAAGCGGAATACCTGACTTGAATGAAATAAAAATCTCACCATCCTGCTGTTTCAGTAATCACATCTTAACCATTCTTTAAATTCTATTTGAGCTGTTTGTAGTTATTTACAAGTTCCAGGATAAGCAATATTGAGCAACATGTTGTTCCTTTTGAGTTCTTCATCCATTACTACGCAAAGGACTCATCAAATACACTATGTTGACAATCAATGATATGCGGTTCTTTCAGTCATTTTCAGTAAAATGTCTTTGTAACTGACTGAAAAACCAATAACCTCATCCAGTGATTACATTCGTAGTGTCCGCTACAACCATCTTTATTCTCTTCCATAAATTGTATTTATTGAAAACAGCAGTTAAACCTTGAACAAAAGTAGGCAAAGCTTTTAATTGTAAGCAGAACAACTCAGCAGAAAAAATATTCATATTTTTTTACTCCTACTAAAAATATTCAACAGCTTGTGGTCCAGATAACATACCTATTATAGTCTTGCTTATGTGTTCACGGAAGCTGTCTTCTATACTTTCAAAACAAGTTTAAAACTACGTTAAACAAGTGGTTATCAAAGTTTTGTTTTCCAGTCTGCTTGAAAGCAGCATCTGTTACCCCCTTTTTTTAAATTTTGAGAAGCAATCTGACTTGTTTAACTACAGCCCCATTAGTCTTCTTACTATTATAAGCAAGGTTTTTGAGTCTTTTATCAACAAACACTTAATCTCATATTTATAGTCCGTTTATGCATAGGCATAAACGTACTATAAATATAAACTTTATTATTTGAAACACTATTTAAAATGAGGTTTAATGCAGCTGAACGAGAATCTTTTTGAAAGTACTCAAATTTTTTTGTAAATAAACCTAATATAAAAAAAAAAGAAATAGTAAATCATTTTGAAAAGTAAATATTTGCTCGAAGTACAATATATGATAACCTAAAAAGACTTGAAACTGTTCAATCCTTTTCTGATAGAAAGCACCTCAATGGTCCAACATTCTACACTAGAAAAAAGAAAGCTAAATAAACAAGACTTGTCAACAATCAAAAAGAGGTCAGCCAGAGAAAATTAGGTTTTAAATTCGATGTAAATAAATTGACAATTGGTCGTCAGTTAAAAAAAATGAATACTAAGAATGAAAAGACTCTAAAATACACTATAGAACAACAATTAAAGCCAAAGAAAAGAAGCAGGAACCTAGTTAACCAACTCTATAACACAAAATCGCCTCTGGTCATCGATGATGAAAAATACTTTTGTTTTGAAGGGGACAACATGCCTGGAAATCTGGATACTACACAAACAACAAAAAAACATGCCATGAAAGTGTTTGTTTTATAGTAAAAGAGAAATTTCTAAAAAAATAATTGATGTGGATAGCCATATCTGACTGTTGTATGTTCAAGCCATTGCTTCGCACTTCCAAGACTGTAGCAATTAATTCATCAATCTATATTGATGAATATTTCGAAAAACGACTTCTATTCACAAGTATCATGGAGATTTTAACTATTTATCTTGGCCAGATTTAGCAAGTTCTCATTATTCTAAAGATTCTCTAAATTGGATGGACCAATATGTCTATTACGTTGATAAAGAATCCAATACCTTAAATGTGCCTCAAGCACGACCAAACGAAAACTTTTGTGGACATTTGGCACAGAAGGTTTACGAGGTTGATTGGCAAGCTTCAACAAAGTTTTGACTAAACGAATTAAATTAAAACTACACGAAATGGATTTAAATTTTTTAAAGTCGCTTATTAAAGCGATCAAATAAAAATAAAGATCAATTGGAGATAAATAACTTTTTTTATTGAAAGATACTTTATTTAAAAAAAATATAATAGTTTTTTTAAAAAAAATAAGTTATTGTTTTTGTTTTGTACAATAACTTAAACATTACCCATTACTGTCAGAAAATCAATATGGTTTTCAATTTTCTTGCTCTAAGGCTGACTTGGAAACTGCTGTGACTAAAACATTTTATCATAAGGTGGCTAGGCTAAGGCTATTGCTTTGACATAGTTAAAATTTTTGATAAAGTTTGGCATGCTGGTCTCCTCCATTAGCTTGCTTCTTGTGGTGTATCTGGTAAAGTTTTTAAGATTATT